TATCGATCAAAATGTATTTTCACGGCGCGATATAACAGATCTCGACGTGAAAATCGAAAAAAAGCGAACAAAACAAACCATAAAGTGACAAAATAACAACAACAGTACCTTCAAAACGACAAATTCGAACAAATCAAACCAAAATAAATATATAAATGAATCAGAAAAACATACCAAATAATCGTAAAAGACGGATAGAACACAACTCTAATGTCATGTAAACTAATAAGAATCTATAGAAAACTAATGATAATATTAAGAGAAAACGGCAAGGGTTACATTGTTGATAAAAACTCCATAGAGAGAAAACGGTTAGGATTACATTGTTGATGGAAAATTATGAATACAAAGAAGATAAATAAGACTATATATAGAAAAATTATCCAGAGTTAACCCAACTAATGAGGCAAACACAATGTCAAATAGAAAAAAAAAACCAAATAACTTATTAATGATATCCATGTGAACCAATAAGATGCATACAATCAACTATTTCAACCCTCGTCCTTACTTCACATGACACCCTTGTCACACATGTGTGTTGTTAGTTGCATATGGTCATTATATCAGGAAACAAGCAAGACCCCACGCCACAACACTTCCACAAATTAAGTCAAAGAACCATGCATGTGGATTCACACACAATGCATGCTATAAACATTTCCAAATATTGAATGCAAATTACTTAAAGGGTACATACAAAAAAAAAAAGAATTACATGCTAGTAACCACAAAATATTGTATTAATTAATTTCACACATAAGCATAAGTCTTTAAACTTAAACCACTCTCTACTATCAGAAAGAACTTATATAAGTTCTTATGGATATAAGAAATTATGAATAAAATATAAATTATAAGAAAACTTGTTAAATACTTAATACCTCTTATTCGATAATACTATAATAATAATCCTAGAATCATAATTGAAGTATTTTATAATAAAATATAAACTTCTATAAAATAATGGATATTATAAAGTTCTTTTGAAAGTTGATAAAAAAAATTTCCGTTGGTGATATAAAGTTTCAAGGGTAATTTATAAGGCTGTGGGGTGTGGCTCGGGATGAGCCGGACTCAGTGTACACCACTCCTTGAGTTCGGCATCCGGAACTCGAAAAGGTAATTCGACAATGGCTAGCCGATGAGAGAGAAGGTGCCAAAAAATTCAAAAATTCAAATTTATTCTTAGTTTTCAAAAATATATCCAATGTTTAACTAGAAATTCAAAATTTTACCGCTCTTTCAACCACTATAAATACTAACAAGTATCCAATTTTCTAAGACAGAGCAACCTTCAATATTTCACTCATACATTCTTTTTACTAGGTGAAAATGATTTCTTCCAATTCCCCATCCAATTCAAAAACTCCAAAAAAAAAAAAAAACCTAAAATACAACCACTTTAACCCTTACCCATTTTCTACCAAAGTCAAATAAATCTCCTATTTTTTTCACCTTCTGCTTTCTATTATGTTGGTGAGTGTACATATTGCAATCCATATCTTAGCCAATTCCACCATCAATTCCAATTCCAATCCCAATTCTATCTTAATCCCTATTTCAATCCAAAAATAATTTCAACCCATTTAAAACCATTCAAGAAACCCATTTCAACCCATTCGTATATAGTATTTTAATCTCTATGTTCTATTTTTTAGTGTTTAAGTTCTATTGTAATTTCCTTTTCAAGCCAATATGAGTTTTAGTTTTTATATAAATTAATTTGTTTAAATAATAAAAATAAATAAAAAATTATTGCATGGCTAATCAATTTTATAAATGACAAGATGTTGAAGAGGTGTGATAAGTATGACAGTGACGAAATTTTTATTTTTGACAACAATGGCACCACTTAGCTTCCTGGTATAATTTTAGCTTCAAAATTGCTAAGGTATCTAGAGTTGGACAGAAAGTAATAACAACCAAAGTTGAGGGTTTTTTCTTTCTTTCTTTCTTTTTTTTTTTCTTTTTGTGAAGTAAGGTAAATATTTTAATAATTAAAAAACGAAAGACAAGCATTTGCAGCAACCTTCCAAGCTGCAGTTACGAATTTAAGATTAAATGAATAGTTTAGCCCACTGTAAATGGATCAAGCCCAACTCTGTTTATTTTAATCACACACATAAGACATTAGTATTGTGATCACTTAATTATTATATGAATCATCTAGAAAAATCAATAATACTAACATGACTTGTCTCCATCTCCCTTGTCCTTTATTTGCAACAGATTCATATATTTGGTATTTCCCACAATACAATACGACACGGTCTTGTATATTTCCATTTATGTTATTATTGGAATGTCTTAGTCTCTCCACAAAATCTCGACTCTATATATGATTTATTAGAATCAATGTTGTAAAAATCGTTCGACGGTATTAAAAGATTAATCGGTCTTGACGGGGATTAATCGGTGACCATAGATTATTAATAAAATATTGAACTTAATCAAATACAAGGTTGTAAAAATATTAAGAAAAATAAGTACTTTAAAATTAAAAAATAAGCGAATTTGTAATTTGAAAATTTAAAAATTTGAAAATACAAGGTTGTAAAAATCGTTCGACGGTAGCTCGACGGTCGACTGGTGCTAAGAGATTAATCGGTCTTGGCAGGAATTAATCGGTGACTATAGATTATTAATAAAATATTAAACTTAATCAAAAATTAATATATTTTAAGAAAAATAAGTACTTTAAAATTAGAAAATAAACGAATTTGTAATTTGAAAATTTGAAAATACGAAAATATGAACATTTTTGTATAATATTTGAAATTTTGGAGTACAAAAAAATTTAATTTTTTGATTTTTTTAAACTTTTTTTTTTTTAACTTTTTTGACTTTTGTTGTCCGATTAATCCCGCCAAGACCGATTAATCCATAATTTCCGTCAAACACACTAATCCTAGTCGGTTGGAGAATGCCAAACAATTATTCCAAGATTAATTCCGATTTCTACAACCATGATTAGAAGTCAACCCAAAAATGAAATTTAATATTGTTTAAATTTCAAATGTAACAATTCAACAATGTATACAGTAGATGACGTTTCTGACTAAGTAACATGAGGTTTCAACCATGCATGAGGGCTGTTAATCGGGTTTCGGGTTAAACGAGTCGGGTTAGTCGAGTTTTTTTAAAAATTAAGTTTTACCTGAAACCCGAGCCTATTAAGGTACGGATTAGTCGGGTTCGTGTTAATTGGGTTTCGGGTTATTAGGGTCGGGTTAGGATGTAAGATGGACTATAGAATACAATAAATGATATTTAATTAAAATAGTTGGGAATTGGTTTGACATGAGTATTTAATCTTAAGCTTCTCAACAATATTATATATTGTGTTATAAACGTTAGGCCATTTAATATGAATAACTAAATATAGTAAAATGTAAATTGGTAAAGAGGTTAAATACATGGATTTGTTTATGAACATATGTACTGTACACTGTAGCAATGGAAAAGATTAGTCAATTTTCTTTTCTAATTTTTTGCATTCTTTGATTTCGACGATGTCTATGTGCACCAATTCAAAAGGTTTTGCAATGACCGTTGTATAGTTTGGAATGCTTAAAGTATAGATGTACATGAATTGTCAAGGTAATCTTAAAATCATAAAAGGGTTGTATCATATACATTAACTTTTGTACATTGTGTTTGCATATATACACCATTAATCGGGTTACTCGGGTTGACCCGAACCCGAAAAAACATAAAAAAAAAAAACTCAACCCGAAACCCGACCCTATGTAACTTTTGGGTTTGTCGGGTTAACCAGAATTTTCTTTTTAGACCCTATTAAACCCGACCCTATTTATCTAATTCGGGTACGGGTTGGGTCGAGTTCGTCGGGTTCGAGTTTTTTTTGACACCCCTATGCATGACGCATCAAACAAATATAAAGCAACTTAACTTTACTATTGATTTAATCCAAGTTATGTATCTACATGTTATCTTAGATCGTTGCAAATCTTCTCAAAACCAACTCAATTATTTTTTACTATGGATCTCACTCGTTAGTGAATTTATGATATTTGAACGATACCTCAACTGATAATCTTATAAACAAAATTTCTTGGCAATAGATTTACTTAACAGATAATGGATATACGTGCGGAAAATGCAAGAAACGATTTATAAATTCTTACGCTATATAACCAAAGCACATTAATTTTCTCCAACTGTCCTAGACTTCAAAGTACAAATAAACATTGTAAATTAGAAAGGACTTTCGTTTAATTTTGTTTCATTTCCGAATGGAAAGACTTTTGTTTTAAGGTATGATTTGATTTGATTTTTACAGCTAGCATCCATAACCAACTTTACCCTGTTTTACAAACATTTCACAAAGTCATCCTGAAACCTAATTTTTACTTAAAAAGTCAAGATGTATGGTTTTTGTCAAAAAAAAAAAAAAAAAAAAAAAAGAATCACAAAATTCAGTGAAATTTCACAAACCATTTGGAAAATTAGTATTTGCCAGAAAAGATATTCCCTAAAAATTTCGGTATTTCACAAAAACTAGTTTTGAAAAAATTAATTATTCAGTTTTATTTGAATTTGGCAAAAGCTTAGTCAAAATCCTATGACTCCCACTTTTGTTCTTTTTGACTTTTGTAATTAACTGATGATTAAAATAACAAGATGTATGGTTGTCCGTTCTCTTTAATTTAAGAAAAATTAAATTGGTTCCTACTTTTTATGCCTACAAATATTCCTACCTAATAATGACAAATGTTATCATTCCATATTTTTTAACTAACTCATTAAGGCTATATTAAAATATATCAAATACAATTAAATTGAATGATGATTTGTCATAATTTTATTGGGTAGGAATAATTATAGGCATGAAAGGTAGAAGGTAATTTAATTTCTCTTAATTTAATTCGTTCCAAATAAAAAAATTAATAAATTATTCATTGAGGAATAAATAGACGGACCAAAAGACAGCAATATATTTAAGGAATCCATCCGGTTTGTTTTGTCTGGACCGGGTTTAAGTTTAACTTAACATTATCCCGTCTCTGATCTGTCGCTCTCGCAATTCAACTGTCCCTATGATTCATGACTCATGATTCATGTTGTTCCTTCGGCTGTTGAATTTCCGTTTCCCCCTTACTTCAAAAACCCTAATTTATCAACTTCCTGTTCATGATTTTTCTCTTTAATTCTCACTACTCATTCGCTCTCCATCGTTTAATCTAACAATGAATCACGCGCAAACCCGCTTTTCTTCTTCTTCCTCCGGCGTCTCTGCTTCCATGACCACCACAGCCCAACAGGTACTCAAGTTTTCTGTTTTGTTTCCTCTCTTTCTGGACATTCCCACTTGTCAACTTGTTTCTGTTCATCTTCTTTTTCTAATAATCCTTAGTTCATACGTATTGATATCGGCATTGCCACTTGGCTTTTGTCTTTTTTTGATCGTAACTGCCGCCCACTTCAATTTCTCAGTAATTGGAATCAAATTGGTAATTTGCGAATATGGAAGGGAAAAAAAGTTAAATGTCGTATGTTAATCGCTTTGATTTTGTTGTTATCGTTAAAATTCTTACTAATCTCGATCACTCAAACTATAAACTTTACACATCATTAATCCATGGGCGCTTACTTCTTCATATAGCAATGTCTAATTATAATCGTATTCTAGAGTGCAGATCGTGGGAACGCCATATCAATGAATCCAACTCTTGGAGCTTCACGCCATTGGAGGGATGTCTTCTGGCTAGGAATCTTTGTTTTACATCTGATTTTAGTAGGTTTCGCTCTTGGGATAGTCGGACTCAATTGGTTCAGAAAGAAAGATAGGCTTAACATCGATCAATACACAAACAGGTTTCTTGAAAATCAAACCGGTTTAACAGAAGATTACTGGCCACTATACGCCATTTCTGGTGCAATCAGTACAGTTATCGGATGGATTTGGTTGTTATTACTTGGTTCACGTTCAAATCAAATGATGAAAGTCTCTGTTCATATATTAACCACATACCTCGCAGTTGTTAGCGTCTTGTGTTTTTGGGGGAAACTAGTTTTCTGGGGTGTCGCTTTTGCTATTGGATCTGGATTACACTTCTTATACATCATATCAGTCATAGACAGGTAATATAATATATAAGCATCTTTGAATCCATCATAAAGTTAAAGTTGTTATCTTTTTCAACTTCTATTTAACTTTCACTCCATCTAGACTTCCATTCACAATGTTGGTTCTTCAAAGAGCTGTAAAAATGGTATGGAAGCTTCCAGAAATCATGAGAATCGTATGTGCTTTCATGTTAGTCATGCTTCTTTGGCTAGCATTATGGTCGTTTGGAGCATCCGGTGTGGTGGCTTCAAGCATCGGTGATGGTGGTCGATGGTGGCTTCTTGTGGTGAGGTGGCCACTTGTTGTTTCTTTTCTTGTAACAAATCACATAAAAATGTAAAATTTCATTCTTTTGTGATAACATATGTTGAAATAAACTGTAAAATTTTCAGGTTTTTTCAGTGAGTTTGTTTTGGACAGGGGCTGTGCTTTGTAACACTGTTCATGTGATAGTTTCTGGTATGGTGTTTCTTGTGCTTATTCATGGTGGCAGAGAGGCGGCGTCAATGCCAAGAAACCCTCTTTTGCAATCTTTAAAGTACGCTGTCACTACCTCTTTTGGAAGCATATGTTATGGTTCACTTTTCACAGCTGCTATTCGAACACTAAGATGGGAGGTAAGTAAATGTAAATATAAATATAAATATAAATATAAATAAATAAATACACTTTTTTAGCTTTTCTATAAATTTGTCTCTCAGATTAGAGGATTCAGATCAAAAATTGGCAACAACGAGTGTCTTTTATGTTGTGTGGATTTCTTGTTTCATCTAGTGGAGACTCTCGTTCGTTTCTTCAATAAATATGCATATGTACAGGTGCATAATAAACTTATCTTATATAATATACAATTTTATGAATTCTCTGAAAATCTTTTTTTTTTTTTATAAATAATTTAGATTGCTGTTTATGGGAAAAGCTTCAATCACTCAGCAAGAGACGCATGGGAGCTGTTTCAATCCACTGGTGTTGAAGCACTCATTGCATATGATTGTTCTGGTGCTGTTTTATTAATGGGTATGATATTAGGTGGGCTTATAACAGGAACTTGTGCTGTTGTTTTAACTAGGATTGAAAATCCAGACAGAGAGATGATGATGGGGTCCACAGCTATACTAATGGGCATGATTTTGGTAAGTTTAGTTTTTTAATAAAAATAAATGTAATATATAATTTATGGTAAATGATAAATGGTAACTAGGTTGGGTTGGCAATGGTGGTGGTGGAAAGTGCGGTTACATCGATATATATTTGTTACGTGGAAGATCCGTTGTTGATACACAGGTGGGACCCAGAGTTTTTTAACCAGATGTCAGAGACACTGCATCAACGTCTTCAACATAGAAGTGCACGCGTTAGGGATGGGTTGAGTCAAAGTCAATATATTGACCGTGACCGTATACAAGAAACCATAACTGTTTGATTGTAAATGGTTTTATTTTGTTTTTGAAAATGTAATGGTTTGATGTGGTTGTTTTAAACTTTTATATCGTTAATTTTATCGGGTCTCAACCTAAGGTTGGATCCTATCTATTGAAATTATGCATCTAATTGTATGTCTAATTTCTTAATTGGATCATTTATTGTAACATCCCAAGTGTACATACAAAGATATTGTCAGCTTTAGGCCATTTGCCTATTCTCACCGAAGCATGCTTAACTGTAGTAATTAATTATCTAGTATTGCTAAAGTGATAAAGTAAACCAATTGTGTATATTATGAAATTAACAAGATGTAGTATATATATATATATATATATATATATATATATATATATATATATATATAGATCACTTTATGTACAAAAATAACGAATTACTAATGCAATTAGTACTATAATCACACATGAATCTTTTGTCCTTCTAATGAATGTATTCTTCCTCCATCTTTGTTCTTTCTTGATTTATGGTGTCTTCTTCTCCTAACTTTTCCGGTGGCCGCCACACGGGGTATGAAAACACCGGTGCCAGCCCCATTATTGGCCCACAAGCTCTCCATCCAACCAGGAACCTCCACGTTTCTACCACCTTGACCCTCCAACCAGTTAAAATACTTCCCGGAGCCACCACTTACCGGTGTCCTCTGAAACTGTGAAGCTCCATTTCTGTTTCTTCTTGTATATGTGTCGTCATCTTCATCCATAATCAGCAGTATTTGTCTTGTGAGTTCTGTGTAAAAGGTTGTATCCTCGAAATCCGGTGACTCCATGTTTGACCGATGAAGACTGTAGTCGGGATTCATGTTGATGGAAGAGATATCAGATATGGATGTGTTAGGATTTGGAAGTAAAGTCGTTTTTATGGAGTATTTATAGGGAAGTTGATTAGGATGAATCATGTTGAGCTTCCAAATGGGGCCATGGTTTTCCCACTTGGCAAGTTGTGAGTCAACGAGTCAAAGATAGTTTAAGAGGAGATAACAAGGTTTTAATCTTTAAAATTAGTCAAAATTGTCAACTTTGAGAATATTAATTATAAAAAAAAGGCGTTTATTTCTGTGAAGAAAGGAACAATAGATTTGGTCAAGGTTTCTGTTCACATTGCAACTTTGCAAGAAGAATATATTGTCGGCTGCACCAACTCAATAGTGTAAGAGTCAAGACCATTGTTTTAAAATATCAACAATATAGATCCAAATACAAAATTGTTTAAGATATTCTACCTAATGGATTTTAACATCTAATTCTTGCGAATTTTATATTTTCAAAGTGTTGGTATGTTTTTCTGTCAGCTTTATATATATATAAGATTGTTATATAAATTTTTTTTAGAAAATGAGAGATCTTTAAAAAAAATAAAAATAAAAAATCGATTGTAACTTATATGAATTGGAAAAAAAAATAGTCTATTTAGTTGAAAATTAGGGTCGAAAGCAATGACGCAAGAGAAGTCAAGTACGTCGCAAAAAGTTATGCAACTTATGCTAGTGAATTGGTCAAATGATTAGCTTAACTACCGAATTACTTGGTTCTAGAATTTGAATTGAAAGGATTTAAATATTGGTAAAGCCATAAAGATTATTTTATGAGATTTTTTTTACACACTACTCTATCCTATACATATCACACACCAATCTATTTTCTTTTTAAACAATCAAATTCTAAAAATTGTATGCAACGTTATTACTTTCTCTGCTTGTACAAATAACCACTTATTTTTTTTTCTTTGCTAAACCATGGTGGTTCCTTGTTTCTTTGTCCTTTTCAGTGGTTCCTTGTTTCTTTGTCCTTTTCAAAAAAAAATTTCTTTTTTAAGATGTCATATTTTTGTATTTGTTATATATCGTTTTATATTTTGAGATTTTAATTAACAAAATATAAAAGATCAACTTATTTAATAATATTAAATTTTAATTAACAGAATATAAAGGATCAACTTATTAAATAATATTAATTATCTAAATTATTTAAAATGATTATTTATTAATATTACGATTTGTTATTTTATTTAAATTTATTTTTTTTTGACAAAAATGCATTTTTGGTCCCTGTGGTTATCCAAAAAGTGTGGATAAGGTCCTAAATGTTTTCAACTTGCACCATTAGTCCAAAAACTGAAACTTTTTATGGTTTTGGTCACTGAAAATTTTAAAATTATTTAGAAAGACTATTTTGCCCTTCCATTTTGTTTATTCCATTTTTTATGTATTTCAGTAATTCAGTAGTTGAAAAAAAAAGCAAAAAGAAAATATTATCAGCACCCCTCCCACCCCCACCTCTTACGCCGATAACCCTACCCCTCTCTTACTGATTTAATCCACAATCATACACTGATACACATACATAAACTATGAACACAATGAAGTTCTGGGAAAAGATTCTGCAGATCCAACACATATGAGCACACATAATGAAGTTTTGGAAAAACTGAAGCTGATTAAACACACATATGTGTACACACATACCTCTCTCTCTCTCTCTCTTGTGTCTCTCATTCTCTCTTCCTGATTTAACAAACACACACAGACACATACTGATAAACCAGATTCAGAACATTGATAAGCCAACACCTCCTTCTATTACTCTCTTTCTTGAGTCTCTCATTCCAGCAAAGGATTTTCACCGTCGGAGAAACCTCCAAGAGCGAAGCGACCATCAGTTTATGTGTGTAGTTGTTAAGATCCGAGATTTTAGGGTTTTTAGATGCTCAGGTGGTGTCAATTTATGTGTTCATCGGTGTATGTATGTGATGAAGGTCTGATTTTCAAGCACTTGTTCAACACCATTATTTCCATTTCTCAATTTCTTGAAGGCCCAATCTCCAGATTCTGATTCAATTTCTTGAAGGTGCAATATACAGATTCTGATTCCTTACAGTGACTCAAGTTCACCACCAAAGTTGTTGCAGATATGGGTTTTAACTCGTGGTTGTTTTTGTGTGTGATGAACCCAATAGAGAAAGGGAGGGGTGGGGTTTACGAATTAGGAGGATAGGTTAAGATGCTTTAGAAGATTGAAACCCCATTTTTCAAGAGAATCGGTTTTTGGGGGAATTCCATTTGAGATAAAAAACTGCTCCAGTTCTAGGGAATCATTTCAATGACGGTGGGGCTTAAGGTTTTTTAAGGTGGGTCTAAAATTATGTTACCTGGTGTTTTTGTCCTTGAAGGGATGACGAAGACGATGAGGGAAATAGGGTTTTTCGAGAGAGAGAGAGAGAGAAAGAGAGAGAGGTTACCGGTGGAGAGAGATGGATGGGGTAGGATTTTATTTTATTTTTATTTTTTTAAACATTTAAATACTAAATTAATAAAGAAAATAGAAAAAACAAATCAAAAGGGTAAAAAAGTCATTTCAAATTGTTCAGGGACCAAATCCACGGAAAGTTTGTGATTTTGGACCAGCGGTGCAAGTTGGAAACTTTTTGGACTTCATCCACACTTTTTTGCTAACCAGAGGGACCAAATTTGCAGTTTAGTCTTTTTTTTTTTTAGTTTTTTTGTCGTTTTATTCGAATATGTAGATTTAATGTTGTTTTTTTATTTATTTTTTGACGTTTTGTTTGTTTATTTTTTTTAATAACTTTTTGTGGTTATTGTTCGTTTATATTATTTAGTTTTAACTTTTTGACGTTTTTTCTGTTTATAACTCGTTCTTAACAAAATCAAATCATTTGAATTTGAAACTTTTTTTACAACTCATGAATTATTTTTATAAAGTTTATTATTATTATTATTATTATTATTATTATTATTATTATTATTTGTTGTGAAAAAAAAGTGTAAAAAATATATATTCAAACGTTGTAAAAAGTTTAAAGAAAAGTTGAAAAGTAAGAAACAATTATAAACAATATGCCGACAGTGTCGGCGTAACGCCTGATGGTCTGGCGATTCGGTGGTCCGACGAAGCGACGATGAAATATAACTTCTAATATTTAATTTTTATATGTATAATTTTATATTTTGAGATTTTAATTAACAAAATATAAAAGATCAACTTATTTAATAATATTAAATTTTAATTAGCAGAATATAAATGATCAATTTATTAAATAATATTAATTATCTAAATTATTTAAAATAATTATTTATTAATATTACGATTTATTATTTTATTTAATTTTTTTTAGTTTTCTTGTCGTTTTATTCGAATATGTAGATTTAATGTTTTTTTTTTTTTTTTTTTTTTTTTTTTTTTTTTTTTTTTTTACGTTTTGTTTGTTTATCTTATCCTTTTTTTTTAACTTTTTGAGGTTATTGTTCGTTTATATTATTTAATTTTAACTTTTTGACGTTTTTTCTGTTTATAACTCGCTCTTAACAAAATCAAATCATTTGAATTTGAAACTTTTTTTTACAACTCATGAATTATTTTTATAAAGATTTTTTTTTGTTGTGAAAAAAGTGTAAAAAATATATGTTCAAACGTTGTAAAAAGTTTAAAGAAAAGTTGAAAAGTAAGAAACAATTATAAACAATATGCCGACAGTGTCGGCGTAACGCCTGATGGTCCGGCGATTCGGTGGTCCGACGAAGCGACGATGAAATATAATTTCTAATATTTAATTTTTATATGTATAATTATTTGATGTACCAAATGCCTCCTATTTCAATGTTATCGCAGACAAAATAATTAATCAATTTTTTAAAATTTTTATTTATTATTATTTTTTATAATTGGTTTTTAATTTTATACAAATTACAAAATCATAAATTAAACCTATAAGTTTTTTCAGTATTTTTTCAGTAAATATAAAAATACATTGCGATGCATGTTGTAATTTACTATATGATGATTTAATGATTAGTTTGTAAAATATAATAATTATATTTTTTTGTTCTTTTTTTTAACTTATTTTAAAAAATAAGTTTGAAATAAAATATTTAAATAGCAAAAAGTAAATATAATTAATTAACTGGTAATAAAAATATAATTATTAAATAAAAAAATTAAAAAAAGTAATAACAATAATATAGTAATTAAATAATAAAGTTTATGAAATAATTAGGTTGTAAGATAATTATTATTAAGTATAATGATTAGGTTAAATCATATGATAATAAT